TTTTCTTGTACGAAATTGAATATTCATCTGTACTAAATTGGCTGTTCTTTTGTGCAAATTCGCTGTCAAATAGTGTATTTTGGGTTAATGCTCTATAGCTGAACATTAAGGGGAATGTACAAGAAATTAGTTAATTAATATTAATCGCATTAATCTAAATTTTGTTAATAGTTAATGCATTTTGGTGGCTATATACAAATTTACAGCTGCGAATTTTAAATACCCATATGACAAGTAACAACGGAAGTACAGAAGTACGAATAATCCTAGGGCAGCAGAGAGATGATGTATTACACATCCAAATATGCTATTCCTGGCAATCTGGAACAGATGGCCACTTAGAGTTCTCGATTTATTGAAAAACCATGAGGCGAGTACAGATGAAGAATACGAAGATTTAGGTAATTTAAGCAAGGATTTAGGTAATTTAGGCAATTTGTTGAATATATGTTTACCAAGTCAAGAAATGGAAAAAATAGTCAAATTAGTAATTTAGAGGGATCAGAATGAGTATTAAATAATAATTGTCGCGGATGATCTGAAATCAGATGATCAATTTGAAAATATAGGCCCTACCAAAATCCATCTATACTCTTTTAACTAATGACACTAACCCTAAATCCTGACTTAACTATAAAAAAAAGCCGACAAAAAAGGCCCCAAAAAATTTAAAAATCGGGTATAAAATAAATACAAATTGTACCATCATCCGATTTCACGATCATAACTTGTACTAAAAGTATGTAATATAACGATCGATAGGATTGATTAATAAAACTCGCCTTCATGTCAAAAAACAAAAATCTTAGTTTATATTAAATGTCATGATAGTTATATTTTAAGCAATTATATTAAATAAAAACTATTTTGATTATCCGATGTAAAATAATCTTGTGACTTTGGCACGAGTAAAATAAAGTAAAATAACCTTTATTCCACGTTTCTATATGATCGCATGATGACCTACAATCGCTACTTCAATCAGTAAAAAAACAAATTTACAGTTGTTATTTCCCCGGCTCCTCTAAGCGTGATAGGTACAAAAGGTATGGTTTTCTACTCGTTGGATCCCAAGTTAGTTGTCGGTGTCT